CGGCCCAGGGGCTCTGGGTCCGGTGTGTGCTGGGGACGTCCCCTTGGGCTGGGAACAACCATCTGGGGGTGGCTGCACCGTCCTCCAGCATGTCCCATTGCCTCCGTCCCATCTTTTCCCTCCTGTCCCATCCCTATCCCCCTCCTGTCCCCTCCGTCTCATCCTTGTCTTCATCCCATCCCCCCCTTCCCTTCTGTCCTGTCCCATCCCTGTCCCCTCCTGTCGCTTCCCTTCCCTCCTGTCCCATCCCTGTCCCCTCCTGTCCCATTCTTGTCCCCTCCTCTCCCATCCTTGTCCCTGTCCCTGCCCCATCCCCCTGCGCAACTCTCCCCCTGCCCAGGACCGCGGCTCACACGGGGACCTCGGACCGCTCTCCTCCGGTCCCCATTTCTCTCCCCCCCATCCCATCCTGTCCCCCCATCCCGTCCTTGTCCCTCCCATCCCGTGCCCTGTCCCCTCCGGTCCCCCTTGTCCTGCTCTTCTTGTCCCCATCCCACCTATCCCTCTCCCTTACACGGAATCCGGCTCACGACGGCACCTTGGGGCTCTCCTGTCCCCCCCCAATCCAATCCCTCTGGGTCACGCAGGGGGTCCCCCGTCACCCTGAGGTCCCCGGCAGCGCTAGCTCGTCGGGGTGATGAGGGACCCCCTGCATGACCCCGTACCCCGATGTCCACCCTCACCATCTCGACGGCGCGGGGGTCCAGCTGGCTGGGGGGTGCCGGCACCGAGAACTGGATCTTCTTGCGGTCCTTGGGGTCCATGGCCTTGACCGTGCGTCACCACCACTGCCGGGAAAAAGGGGGGGGGACAACACGACACACGATGATGTCTCTGCCACCGGTGCCGAGCGGAGTTCGGTAGCACCCGGGGCTCGGTACGGGCGAGGACTGAGAGCGGCGGGAGGTGGGGAAGGCAGAGCCGGTGAGGAGGAGGAAGAGGAGGAGGAAGGAGAGGGAGGGAGGACACGTCTCCTACCAGGCGTTGAATTATTCATCCCCCCCCCCCCTCACCCGGGGCAGGGGGGCTGAGGTCGAGGTAATGAGCCCCGAGGGGGGTTCAGTCAAACCGTGGGGGGCCCTTAACCCCTTCCCTGCCAGGGGGGTGGCCCCCGACCGCAGTGGCCAGGTGGGACAGGATGGAAGAGGGGACGGGAACGGGTGCCTCCACATGAGTCCAGATCCTTTGTGCCTCAGTTTCCCCATGGAGCCTCAGGCTGGGCAGGCAGGGGACAGGGACACTCTGACCCTTGGAGGGGCAGCAGGAAAATCCCCCCCAGCGGCTCTGTGCCCCATGGGCACCCCACGGGACAGGGACACTACTCACT